ATATTTTTTTAACATCTTGTAGAAATAATGTTCTTCATCGTGACTTAAAAACATCTAACATACTAATTGATCGTGAAGGTGTTTTAAAAATAGCAGATTTTGGTTTGGCAAGGCTTACAGTCACTTCTATTCGACCTGACCGTGCTTCTCGTTATACTGGTCGCGTAGTAACTTTATGGTATCGACCTCCAGAAATCTTGCTCAATGATCGTTATTACGGAAGACCGGTAGATATATGGGGTGCTGGTTGTATTATGGCTGAGCTTTGGACAAATTACCCAATTATGCAAGTAAGTAATTGACGAATAAACTTTTCAAGTATTTAAGGTTAATTAAAGCAAGTTTTATTTTGATTTGTTGATGTCACATATCCACCTTAACCAAATCATACTTCATATTCATTTGTTTTCGTTTTTTCATTTATTTATTATTTTAACACATAGATTTTGGTACAAGGAGGCACCAAATACGTATGCGCCATATAAACCATTCGATTTGTGTGAGGGGCATGATACTGCCCGGGTGCCCAAACCCAAGCAGGTGGTTTTCTTAGGGGACCACACGCCGAGCCTTTCAGAGTTTCTTCATGTAAAATTTGTTAATTGAAAATGACGAAGAACAACTAATGTGTGGATTGTACCATTCTTCCAGAAACACGAACACAGTGGTTGGCTTGCGGTATTTTAAAATTTTACTGAATCTGCTTTGGAGTGAGCGTGTCACCTGTGGATCCGATTGTTGTGTAAACTAACACAATTCGGAAATGTCATCTACAAAATTAGATTTATCGTCGTAATATATTACCGTTAACATCCCTCTTTTTTAATATAACGCACCAATCCCATAATAGGGACTGTTTACACCATCGGTTATTCCTAGTGTGAGTCTATGGATGCATAAGTACACACCCATATGTTTCCACTGACCTCCGTCATCAAAAAGAAAGAGATCCGAAGTACTTAACTTCAACAGGATAAAATTCATATCAGTCTCATAAGCTATGCATAAGTATGAAAAGTCATTTGTTGAACTAACCTTACTTTCAGTTGCCAGCATATCACACATTTTCTTATTTATTGTCCTACAGTGCTTATCTTTTTCAAGATCTCATTATTCTTGTGGATTGCAGCTAAAATTTGAGAGGAACCTCTACGACCTCTCTCATAGTCAAAGTGTCTAGTTACCGATTCAGTCACTAACTAACAGGCTGACAGTATTATTGGATGCTTGCGAAAAGCCGACGACTCAGTGTTCTTTAGGGTTGCAAACTATCTTAGTTTGTGTTTTGCCTAACGATAGACATTCTTTAAGAAATAATACTTCATTCCTCTGACTTTTCAAAGATTAATTTCTTACCAAGAGATCCACAAATTGACTGAGAATACGTAGACGATTTGTTCCTCGCAAGGATGCTAATAAAATTTAGTCTTTTAGACACACTGAGTAACAATCCAAAAATGTTTGGGACGTGATTTTCTCCTTTTAAATGCAAAATATTGCTTCAAAACTGGTATGCATCAACGCATAAACTAGTGGTTAGGAGTCAAGTAGTTCAGTTCATCGACCACTTTGCTTGGAAGTCTCATCAGCCCTGATTGGTTAGTGTCTTGACACAGGTTCAAAACGCTCAGCTCGTTTCTGTCAACGTACTTCCTTGTGGCGTAGACAATATGTCTGTTTCCCAAAGAAATCCGGCACAGTAGTTCTGTCTATTTTACTCCGTGGGTGTGAAATACGGTCTTTTAAATAGACACTCACAGGCTGCAATTATCTGATCATAGCTATCGTAGGTGCATTTTTGGAAAGTTGAGTACTATCCATAGCTAGCAAATATGTTGATGAGGTTGTGAATCTTGATCGAATTAGGTGGTTGATACGTGTTAACTGGCTTACTGTAAACTATAACGTCTGTAACACAATGATCTGATCTAATTTAGAAAAAAATGAAACAATTTTATGACATGGAATTTATTTCTTATTGGTGAATCCAACTGTTTATCCTGTATGATGTATGTGTTAGACTGTCATTACTAACTGTACTCATGGTGATCATTTGGTTGTTACCTTCAGTCGGGTACATGACTTTGAGCCATATGGTTTTGGTGTGAAAACTAATGATAGTCTCACTGAAATTATGAACCGATCTAAATTAGATCATGACTGAAAACTCATACTGACTAATGATAGTATATGGCTGTCTAAACCGGAACAGATGAAGTTGAGGGGGTGTGTGTGTGGCTAAATCAACTGATTCAAAAATTATTTGATTATTGGAACACTTATTTCTGAACGTACTTACTGAATATGACCTCTAACAATTTCATACGGTTTTATTTTAAGATACCTTGGTTTATTTTGAATTCCCTCATTTTTCTTTTTATCTTAAAGGGTGAGAATGAACTTCTTCAACTCAATTTAATTATTCAACTTTGTGGTTCTATCACACCGGAAGTTTGGCCAGCTGTTCAGAATTTAGAAACTTATCAAAAAATAAAGTTACCCAAAGATGTTAAACGTCATGTCAAAGAAAAATTGACACCACAAATTCCATGTCCATCAGCTGTTGACTTAATTGACAAATTACTAGTATTAGATCCAAATAAACGTTTAGATGCTGATCAAGCTTTATCACATGATTTTTTCCATGAAGATCCACCTCCTGGTGATTTAAGCTGCCTTTCAAAGAATGGTGCTTCATTTTTAGAGTATTTAGGACAAGCTAATAGAGCTAGACGTGGATTAGCAAATAATTACCGTAATGTTGCTAATCCTAATTTCCCAGCTAGGCGGGGTCCAAATGTTATAGTCCCCGGACCTGTGCCAAATCAACAAATTATTAACCAACCATATCAACGTTATCGTGGTCTTCCACCAGATCAAGATTCATCTAACATCAATGATCGTATATTTTAATCAAAGTGAAGGGTTCAATGTTATCGAGAAAAAAAATTGTCCTTATTTGTATAATTTTGTGTATATTGCATTTTTACAAACAAAAGTAATTCAATTAGCCTGCAGAAGCAGTAGAATATTGTGATAACAACAGCAACATATACAGAGTTTATTTCAGTTCTTAAGATTTGTATTTTTCTAGTCTCAATTACAATTATAGTGTGAATATTTGTTATGCTTGAATGATGTGATGATGATGACCATAATGATTGCATTTCTCTCTCTCTCTCTCTTTCTGTAATTTGATATTTATTAGTCTACTAAAGAAATTTCTTTCTTTTTTTTCTCTGTCATTTAGTTTTTAATTATTAGGATGAAAGAAACATCTCAAATATAAATAATACGAAGGTGTACATTGTAAATTTCAACATCTTAACAAGCCTGGAATGTCAGTCAGTAACAACGTAGAACTTCGAACGTACATACATCAGTTCGAGTTGCCATACCACATTAGCACAGAGATGCAGTTATCGATCCAAATCCCGTAGTGATAGAGGCGGTAAGAGTATAACTAGTAATCGGAAAGATTAGGGTTTGGAGATTAGAATTTGTGAGAACACAAAGAGTGGATGCACCTGCTCCATTGCAAACGATTTTGAGCCTTGTTATTCAGGGCCTCTAACCACCGCTTGCTATCATCTCGCGGTCCCCAACTAGGTAATCCACACCTACCAACATGACTCAGTCCACTTGTCAGTGACTTCATATATTTGTGCTATGTTTTGGTCTGGCCACCCCTAGCTTTCTTCCAACCTACTCCTTTACCATTGAACATCGCACTTCGAGGCAGTCGGTGGTTTAGGATACATAACACGTGTCCGAGTCATCTCAACTGATGAAGTTTCACTACTTCATTAATTGATTTGCCATCCTTACCTTGTACCCGTTTCCTAACAACTGAGTTACTTACTCGATTGTCCCAGGATATCCGAGCTATATTTCGAAGACACCTATGATCAAATACTAGTAACCTACGAATATCCTCTACTCTTACCAGCCATGTTTCACTGCCATAAAGTAGGACGGAACGAGCTGCTGTGCAGTAAACACGTCCTTTGGTTGATAGACGGATATCTCGCCTACACCATAAATGACGCAAGTTGACAAAAGCTAGTCGAGCCTTCTGTATGCGTGCTGAGATTTCGTCACACACCAGACCACAGGGGCTGATGAGACTTCCAAGATAAGTGAAGCGATCGATACGCTCAACTACTCCACTCTTTATCATTAGTTCGGGTGTCAATGCAACCCAATCCTGAAGCAACATTTCGCAAATTGTGACTGATGCTTAACAATTCTATTCAAATCGATTGGTTATTCATATGAAGACGCGATAAACATTTAAAGGAAAATTCCCCTGATTTCAACGAATACTTTGTCCATTGTTAAAACATCACGTCATATTGAACATGACTTTGATCGTTGTTTGATATTACCTGGAAAACTTTTTGGAGTCTAATTAGCTGTTTCTTCGCAGTACAGAGTTCTTGAACAGCTATCCCGATAGTTTACCGTCCATTAATCGTTTAGTATGCTATACGACAGTTTACTGTTGTAGTCTAAACCTATAAAACAAATTGTTAAAGGCTGAAATAGTACGTAAACTGAATGTACTTCATCATATATTTGTAATGGACACTATTTGTATGATGTAGCTTTCCGGTGAGCGACATCATGTTAATGAACTCGCTCATACCATCTGAGATTGAGGTTGACTCTACCTGTTTTGTATTATCTTCGTTAACTTCTATCATAACAATATTTATACCGTTCATCTGTTGTAAATTTATTCAATCATAACAATAAAGCAACCGGAAACTGTCAGCATTTATATATATATTTTTTCCAATTCAATCATTAGATTAGTTTTCATAAAAGAATTTTGTGATTGACAAATTACATTTCACTAGTTAGTTTCATTGTACATCATTGCTGTAATCATCCATCTCAGTCAGTCAATCAGCTACAACGTAGGACCAGGCACATATGTGCATCGGTCCAAGTTGTCATACCATCCATCTATTAGTAAACAGGCACACTATTTTGTTATCCATCTTTTATATGAAAATAAATGGTAGTTTGAAAATGAAATAATCTATTAACAAATGAACATCCCAATATTTGATTTCTATTTCCATGAGTAATGTAAAACAAAATATGGGAATGAGTAAAAACCGATATTATAGTTCACTCTTTACAGTCGGATTCATTGTATTCATCAATGATCATATTTATGTTGATAAATATGATTCAATCAATATAAAAGATGAAAGAAATAGTTATGAAGGATAAACATGAATTGGTCAAGTATACTCTATTGTTCACATGATAGTCTCCTTGTATTATTATTATTATTATTACATCAAATAGTAGAATCTTTTAATTGATCATTTTCTATTGATGGAATTGTTGTTGTTGTTGTTGTTGACTACTTGTAAACGAGGTAATTTCATGTCTAAAATTTCTGTTTTTTCAATGTATGTGGAAGAGATTGGATTAAATTCCTGAAAGTGAACGAATGTAAACACAACAGTTAGATTAAGTAAGAAAGAGAAGGATGTTCAATAAGTGTCATTAGGCTTTATATAATGACGAGTAGAAATACTTAGTCAGGACATGTGAATTGTTGTAATTTCATAGAATTTGACAATATATATATATATTTGGATTAAAGTATGATAAGCAAGTTACACAATCATTACATATAGTTTATTAGGAATTTAAAATCTGTCCTTGGAATCAATTTTTGTTTGGATTCTAAAGTTAATGTTTTATTAAACAACTAATATACTATCTAAACTGCAAACACGAGAGAATCAAGCTGGCTTCAGACCTGGTCGTAGCTGCATCGATCACATATTCACCGTTTTCAGGTTCTAGAACATACGCATGCTTATCGGCGTCCAACAATGGTGATCTTTCTTGACTTAAAAGCAGCATTTGACTCGGTAGACGGCGAGATTCTGTGGCAGTGTCTGTCATTGAAAGGCGTACCCCAGAAGTACAAAAACCTTGTGAAGGTTCTTTACTCGAACACTACTAGTCGAGTCAGAGCTTATAACGAACAGTCATCTGTTTTTGTGACCTCAATTCATGTCCGTCAAGACTGTGCACTTTCTCCATTTTTGTTTGACTTCACCATAGATCTGATGGGAATAACATTCTCGTCTACTGAATTCTCGGGTATTGATCTCCTTCCAGGAGGTCCACTCATCGACTTAGAATACGCAGATGACATAGTCCTGTTTGGTGAAGACGCTGACAAAATGCAGAGTCTTCTGGTACCATTAAGCAACAATGCCACAATGTTTGGAATGCGCTTCTCTCCATCCAAATGCAAATTGTTGCTGCAGGACCGGCCTGTGTCAACACCTGAACTAAGGATAGGGATTGAAGTGGTCGGACGCGTTGACGAATTCACTTATCTTGGAAGTCTGATCAGCACTAATGGGTTGCTGTCTGACGAAATCTCAGCAGGGATTCTAAAAGCTCATTTGGCTTTTGCCAACTTACGTCACCTATGGCGAAGGCGAGATATCCGTCTACCAATTAAGGGACGAGTATACTGCGCGGAAGTTCGTTCTGTTTCACTTTACGGCTGCGAAACATTGCCATTAAGAGTAGAAGACACTCGTAAGCTACTAGTATCTGACCACAGATACGTTAGAAATATTGCTCGCATCTTCTGGGACTATCGAGGCAGTAATAGTGAAGTTAGCCGAGGAGTATTAGGGAATGATGGCAAATCGGTTGATGAGGTTGTGAATCTTCATCAACTGAGATGGTTGGGCCACGTGTTACGTATGCCCGAACACCGATTACCACGATGTACAATGCAAACTGGTGTTGGAGATGGTTGGAAGAAAGTAAGGGGCGGTCAAACCAAAACGTGGCACCAGTGCTTGAAGTCACTAACTTCTAGTCTGAGCCATGTTGGTAGATGCAGACTACTTGGTTGGGGTCCACGTAACTATTGTAACCAATGGTTGGAGACTGTGGATGACATGGCTCAGAATCGATCACAATGGCTTGAGCGTGTGTACACAGTCTGTCTTCCCTTAAACTAAGAGATTAAAATCGCTTCATATATTTTTTTTTCTACTAACTAATTCTTTCTCCATGTACTATATCCTTATTGCAATCTTTTATATATTACCACCTCTGAACTAACTACTTTTATGAATCCGGTGTTCATCTTGTTGTGTTAATGAGGTATGGCAACTTGGACCGATGCATATATGTGCCTGATCCTACGTTGTAGCTGATTGACTATTAAACAACTGTATCAGTAATATCAAATTAAAACTTACCTGATCATTTGCTGTTTGTGGAGGAAGCCAATTTGGAAAATGTCTATAGAATGAACGTGCCTGCCAAGCCAATAAACGTGGATTAACCTGTGATCGACTATTAAATCCTGGTATGATAAATATAAAAAATATGCTTGTAGAAAATAAAATTTAATATGATTAGTCAGTTGTTTATATTTCAATGTTGTTGTGGGAGAATGAAGATATTCCGAAAAATATGTGATTGTATTTGTACAGTACATTTCAAACATATTACTGATGCTAAATGGTCGGAAACACTTAGGATACAAACCTAGATCTAAGTTTCATGCTAGTTAGCGTTTGTCAGCAAGGCGTATCCGCGGTCCTGAAGAGACTTGCTTCCTGTAGAGTTCATACCGGTGTCACAGGCAGTGAGCTCTTTGGACAGCGACTAACTTCTTATATGATCAAGATATATACACTGGTAGACCAATATGTAGTGACTAAGGCCAAATTTGTTCAATGATCAAATCCTATTGATTGCTAACCACTTACAATCAAAAGCATAATGTTCGCGATGTCAAGTCATTTAGACAGTTGGATACATTTTACCTTGATCTATTGAATTAGATTAGAATCAAGGAATAACGAAATGTGATTTCAGCTATGTTCGCTGATCAATTAATCCTCATGAAAAATTTCAGTTTTACTACACTATATGACACCAACGTCCTAATATGAGAATAGCTAACGAGTTCATTCGACACAAGGTACACTGTTAACTACTTTACAATATTTTGATAAAATAATTAACAAGGATACATATGCAACTAACTGGATAAAAAGATCACCTTAGTCTAGATAGGCTAAATTCAAGAGTCAAATGAAGAAGTTTATGGATACGTATATTTTAAACGAACTAAACGTATCCAATATCAGACGGTTTGAAACAGGCAAAACTCGTTTATATATTCAACCAGTATAATAAACAAATATAACAAGTTCAGAAAAATGATTCTACTACAATAGGATCCCGATTATACAACAAACTATTCTGAATTATCTACAACAAAATATTTCACAGATTGAAATCATGAGTCAATTGAAGCTAGACCACCATGGAAAACCTGGAAGCACTGGACGGCCGTTTCGTCCCAGTAGCGGACTCCTCAGCAGTGCGCATCCACGATCTCGCACCCCGAGAGATTCGAACCAAGGAACTATCAGTCTAGCACTAGGCGCTTAACCAACTAGACAACTGAGCCAGCCGGGATCCAATGGTGTTAATGTCTAACTTCAACCAATCCACGAAGTTACGCCAACGTACACCATTGTCTTCAGTGAGCTAATATCTCACAACAGACCTGGTTGAACTCCACTGGTAACAGCTTCTCACTAGAACTCTAGGAAATGCGTCTTGAAGTCAGTCACTAGTCAGTAGATGATTATTATCAGAAGGGGTTTATGGAGATTTTAGCTTCAATTGACTCATGATTTCAATCTGTGAAATTTCTAAAATCTCCCACAAAACCCCTTCTGATAACAAAATATTTATTCGTATTAATATTTCTTAAGAAAATAATATTTTGTCATATAAACATTATGAATATTGAAAAAAAATGACAGCTTACCTGTAATTGCGCTAATTATGAATCCTACAGGAATTCCAACAATTAAACAAGCTGCTGCATAATAAAGATATGAAAGTGAATAAAATGACCATGTTGTCGTCTTTATAATATTAACAGTAATAGTAGTTGATGTATTCGTTGTACCAGTTACAATAGATGATGATATATTTTGAAGAATTTTCGATGAACAATTTTCAATGGTTAAAGGTAAACGATCATTATCAGTTCTTGAAGTTATAAAAGTATTTCCAATGCAAATCCATAAACCACAAATAACACCACTAATTAATGCACATAATCCACCCTGAACATATGAATCGACACGACAAAAAAATATATAGTCAGTAAACGGTAGTGTACAAGTGTCATTCATTTATCCATATTGAACATCAAAAACATTTAAACATAAACAGTACTATCAGAATGGGTTTTGTGGAGAAGTCGTTACCAGTGGAGTTCAACCAGGTCTGTTGTGAGATAGGAACTCATTGAAGACAATGGTGTACGGTGGCGCGACTTCGTGGATTGGTTAAAGTTAGACATCAACACCATTGGATGCTGGCTGGCTCAGTGGTCTAGTTGGTTAAGCGCCTGGCCCGAGACTGATATATCCTGGGTTCGGATCTCGCGGGGTGCGCACTGTCAGGAAGGTGTTCCATAATAGGAAGAAACGGCCGTTCAGTGCTTCCAGGTTTTCCATGGTGACCTAGCTTCAATTGACTCATGATTTCAACCAGATAAACAGTACTACCATAAATTTTGTAACCATGAGACTAAAATCAAATAGGAAGTATTTTCAATGAATCCTCAGTCATAGTATAAGACCATATTAGTTTTGTTTCACTCATTAAAATACACGTATGCATTAATGTTCAGTAATGAAAAATTTATACATGACACTGAAATCAAGATTTAGCAAAATAGAATGAATGAATGTAGCAGCTGTATTACAACTGGTTTCGAACCACCATGTCACTTAACGTCATCAATCATAGATTCTCACTATCCCATGGAACCGAATCAGAATATCTACAGTATCTGGTTAGGGATAACAGATAAAGATCAATGTCTCTGGGGAGACAGAAAGTGAATGCATTCGGCTAATCGTAAACGAATCTCAACAACGTCACCCGAAATGTCTGGTCATTAGTTACACCAACCAAGTAATGTACATCTAACTAAATGGCTCAATCCAACACTTAGTAACTTGATGAGATGATGTTATGTTTTCGTTTGGCTACCCCTAGCTTCCTCCTAACTTACTCAAATGCCAGCTGTCATTTATATCTTATTTTTTCTACTAAAATTGATGTTGTTTGCACAACTTCTACCAATATGACTTATATTTTAATATTTTTATTGCACTATGCTTACAAAGTGTGGCAACTAGAACCGGTGTTGATTTGTCCCTGTTTTTTAATTTCCTTATGACTATCTGAGTTGGTAGGTGTAGACTACCTGGTTGGGGACCACGAGATGATAGCAACCGATGGTTAGAGACTCTGAATGACATGGCTCAAAATTGTTTGCAATGGCGCAGGTGCATCCACTCTTTGTGTTCTCCCAAATTCTAATCTGAATTCTTCATGTCCCTTTTTCTCACTTTCCAAATTTCTTTCACTGGATTATACTCTTTAAATAACATCTCCAAACCCTAATCTTTCTGATTACTGCTCATACTCTTGCTACCTCTACCACTACGGGATTTGAATCGACAACTGCATCTCTGTGCTAAGGTGGTGTGGCAACTCGAACTGATGTACGTACATACGAAGTTCTACGTTGTTACTGACTGACTTATGACTGTCTAACTAAAAATATCATCAAATATATATAGATTTTTTTTATTAACATTAATGATATACTGACTTACTTCAGCATTAATACATGGAAAAAATATTCCAGCAGTAAATACAGTTAAAACTGGACCACCAATTGCACCGAATAAAGAAAATGATATTTGTAAAATATGTGAACTGGATAATGTAAATATGAAAGCCAATGATACAGTTAAAGTACCAAATAAAATACCTGCACAACAAGAAACGAGAAATAAAGAAAGAGAGGATGTGTGTAACAAGCTTACAGGATAACAAATGCAATTTATTCCTATGAAAAACACAAATGAATAATGGTGAGATGTTATGAATTGAAACAAAATCCTTAGATTATTCTTCTTCATAAATTTATGAACTAATGAAGAGTATTTAATCAATTCATTTCATTTAAGACATTTGTCTCAAATTAGTGATATAAAATAGTTTCAATGGTTAAGATCATGAGTCAGTTGAAGCTAGACCACCATAGAAAACCTGTAAGCACTGAACGGCTGTTTCGTCCTACTGTGGAGTTCAACTGAGTCTGTTATGAGATTGTAACTCACTGAAGACAATGGTAGATGTGTCGCTCAATTTCGTGGATTAGTTGAAGTTAGACATTAATATCGTTGGATTTCGGCCGGTTCAGTGGTCTAGTGATTAAGCGCTTGTGTGCGAGACTGATAGATCCTGGGTTCGAATCTCGCTAGTCAGGATCTTAGATGCGCACTGTTGAGAAGTCACACAGGAGGACGAAACGGTCGTTCAATGCTTCCAAGTTTTCCATGGTGGTCTAGCTTCAATTGACTCATGATCTCAACCATCGAAATTACTATAATATCCACAAAACCCATCTGATATTAATCAGCATATGCTCACTAGTGACTGGCTTCACGAGGTATATCCTGGAGTTCTAGTGAGAAGTAGTGACCAGTGGAGTTCAACTGTGTCTGTTATGAGATTGTAACTCACTGAAGACAATGGTAGATGTGTCGCTCAATTTCGTGGATTAGTTGAAGTTAGACATTAATATCGTTGGATTTCGGCCGGTTCAGTGGTCTAGTGATTAAGCGCTTGTGTGCGAGACTGATAGATCCTGAGTTCGAATCTCGCTAGTCAGGATCTTAGATGCGCACTGTTGAGAAGTCACTCAGGAGGACGAAACGGTCGTTCAATGCTTCCAGGTTTTCCATGGTGGTCTACCTTCAATCGTCTGATGATCTTCACTATTAAAATCTTAGCAACTGTTAAATAGATAATTCAAACAAATAGTATTTATTTATGACTTTTTCTATTTTATCAAAACTGTTAAAATGTCAAAGAATCACCAGAAACATGGCATTTCAACTAGCCTGTAATCAGGTGATTATAAATGAAATCAATTCAGCTTACTAATTCATAAAGAAAAGTTCGAAAGGTTAAACAACAAATGAAACAATTCATAAGAATTTGAAAAACAAACGATAAAAAATGACATGTGACGATGATCCATGAATAAACACAGTGATCAAGATCAACCAGATTTATTAATGATTATGGGATATGTTCTCTACAAAAGTTTACTGTCAATTTAATTAGACAGTGATGTTATGTATTTTTTTTTTAAAAAAAACTTATCATTAAAGTTCATAGACCACAACATTGCCAAAAGTAATAAATTCTTATCGACGTGCGATGTTCAGTGGTATAGGAGTAGGTTGGAAGAAAGCTAGGGGTGGCCAGACCAAAACATGGCACAAGTCCATGAAGTCACTGACAAGTAGACTGAGTCATGTTGGTAGGTGTAGACTACCTGGTTGGGGACCGCGAGATGATAGAAAACGATGGTTAAAGGCCCTGAATGACATGGCTCAAAGTCGTTTGCAATGGCGCAGGCGCATACACTCTTTGTGTGCTCCCAAATTCTAGTCTCCTTATTCCTCCTTATCTCTTTTTTCTCTTCCTAAACTTATTTCTCTGGATTATACTCTTTGAATAACATCTCCAAACCCTAATGTGTCCCGATTACTGCTTATACTCTTACCGCCTCTATCACTACGGGATTTGGATCGATAACTGCATCTCTGTGCTAATGTGGTATGGCAACTCGAACTGATGTACGTACGTACGAAGTTCTACGTTGTTACTGACTGACTGAACAAATTCTTATGATAGCAGAATCATAGCATAAGATCATTAGTATACTTCAATAAGAATATATATCAAAGACGATCTAATTTGCACATTTCTAAGTAATTGACAAACTTCAAAAGTTGTTAAAATACATTTGAAGGAATAGAAGGAAATTAAATGACATAACTGCCAGAGAAAAAAATACTTTTCATTCGTTTCCATTTAAATTATTAATTTTTGTTATGGTGAAAGTTCGCACTTGGACGTTTAGTAAAAAGAACGAATCGAGCTCAGTAATCTAGAAGTTAAACGTTCGAGCGCGAAATCGAAGGTCCTGTGTTGAATCCCAGGTACTGGATCGTGGATGTGTGCTGCTGAGGGGTCACATACTAGAACGAAGCGGCCATCCAGTGCTTTCAGGTTTTCAATAGTGGTCTTACATTGATCAGCTCATGGTCACAATCAAAACTCAATAATCTCCACAATTCTATACTGATAATTGTCATGGGCTCACTAGTGACTAGTTTTGAGAGGCAATTCTCAGAATTCCAGTGAGAAGTTGTGACCAGTGGAGTTCAACCGTGTCGGGTGTGATGTGTTTACCCACCGGAGACGATGGAAGATGGTTGTGAAATATCGTGGATTGGTTGGAGTTTGATATTAACATCATTGGATGCCGGCTCAGTGGTCTAGAGGTTAAGCGTTCGCACGCGAGATATAAGGTTCTGGGTTCGAATAATTGTTGAACCGGCGGTGAGAATTTGTCGTGCATCTAAGAATCAACTTTTTTATTGCAGATAGGAGAATTAAAGTTTCTTTACGCTACTCTAATAGTTCGCTGTAAACCTTAATTCCCGTATCCACAATAAAATAATTGAGTTTTGAATACACGATGAATTTTCACATCTGATTCGACAATGAATACTATATACAGTTGGATGTTGTAGCCATTGGGATCGCTACTGACAGACATTTTTCTTGAAAAACTGGAAAGTAGATCACTTAAAGACACAATTAGTCGTCTAGTATCTTATTGTCTATACATAGATGATACTTTTATAGTATTAGAAAAATAACATGAAAAGGATAATTTACTCAAAATATTTAATGACACTCATTTATCTATTACTTTTGCATTTGAGGAAGAACAGAGTAATAGCATAGCGTTTTTAGATGTCCAACTAACAAGAAGATTAAGTGGAATATTTAAGAGAGAGATACATAGAAAGTCTACAGTTGGACAATATACTCATTTCTATAGTACTGTATCAGTCAGATACAAGAAAACTTAGTAAACATCCCGACTCATCGATCTAGAGTGATTTACTCTGATGACACCATTGTAGATGAATTGAGTAATATACGTAACGCGCTTAGTAAGAATGAATATCCAACGAAACCCAATAATAAATATCAATGACATGAAATGAAGTCCAAATGTATGTATCATTTCGGAGAAAGTACTGTTCCTAAAATGATGCTATTGAAGAAATTGTTACTCAGAGGTTAAGAAAGGAGACAGAGAAAGGATTTACTGTAACCCAGTCTGACTACAATTGGACTTACATGATCTATCTGGTAAACAAACAAATCAAACGGTCTGTATATACAGTGGCAGTTTTTCACGCGTTTCTGATCTATGATTTAGTTATTACATAAGATCATCCTAAATTATATACAAGAAGGTTTTTTAAAATGAGACCTAAAACAAAATATAACTAACAAGGATTAAAAATCAGCATGAACCTATCAATTCAAGTACAATAGCAACAATTAATTGCTTTAAACGTCAGACCTGGATTTTATTCATTTTCCTTTAGTAGTCGACCATTTTGTGAAATCATACAAATTAATGACTTTTCTATCATTTATATTAGGTTTGTTTAGTGAGAGAGTCACAGACGACAAAGAGAAGTTGAGAAATATATATAAGAGAACATGGTATTCTGTAATGTTTCTGACATCACGAATTAACACTTAATCATAATTTTTCAACAACATAATATCAGTCTCACGCCAGGCGCTTAACCAACTAGACCACTGAGCCGGCATCCAACGGTGTTAATGTTTAACTTCAACCAATTCATTAACACCGTTGGATACCGGCTCAGTGGTTTAGTTGGTTAAGCGACTGGCGCGAGACTGATAGGTCCTAGGGTTCGAATCTCGCGGGCAGCGGGATCGTGGATCCACACTGCTGAACATAATATCACATAAAAAAATGACGGTTTAATAACTGAATACAGGATGAAAAAAGAAAACTGATAATCGATCGATTAGATTATGAACAGAAATGATCATATTTTAACTAACTCGATTTAAGAAATGAAATCGAACAAATAAAATTTAACAAGAAAAAAATTCTTTCGAAACATAAACATACCTAAAAATATGGCCAACCGATATTTAGATCTTTCTGAAATATCCACATGTCTCCAATGAATATACAATGGTCGAATTAAATCTTCTAAGCAAACATTAGCCAAACTATTTACACCTGATGATACAGTACTATGTAATGAATGTTTACAAAATAAAAGAAACAATTTTAGCATTCATTTAAGTAGAATTGTAGATATTCAATCTAACTGAATCATATTTACTGAGAAATCTTACTATGAGAATAATATTGTGGTGCGTGCTACTTATATTGATGTAGGTAGTATATGACGCAAGTTAAAAACGTAATGTCTGGCAACAGAAGATGGGGGAAGATCAAGAAAGGAAGAGCGACAACACAATGCAATTTGCAAGAAAATGCATAAACAATGAAATGTCAGTCAGTCAATCAGCTACAACGTAGAACCAGGCACATATGTGCATCGGTCCAGGTTGCCATACCGCATCAGCACAACAAGATGAACAACGGAATCATAGCAGTGGTTAGGTAAAAGGTGGTAATATATAAAAGAAAGATTGCATATAGAAATATAGTACAAGAAGAAAGAACTGGTTCGTAGAAAGATATGAAGTGATTTTAATCTCTTAGTTTAAGGGAAGACAGAAAGTGTATACACCTACGCCATTGTGATCGATTATGAGCCATGTCAATAAGAGTCTCCAACCATTGGTTACGATAGTCACACGGACCCCAACCAAGTAGTCTGCATCTACCAACATGGCTCAGACTACAAGTTAGTGACTTCAAGCACTGATGCCACGTTTTGGTTCGGCCGCCCCTTACTTTCTTCCAACCATCTCCAACACCAGTTTGCATTGTACATCGTGGTAATCGGTGTTCAGGCGTACGTAACACGTGGCCGAACCATCTCAGTCGATGAAGATTCATAACCTCATCAACTGATTTACCATCATTCTCTAATACCCTGCGTTTAACCTCATTATTACTTACCCGGTGATCCCAACAGACGCCAGCAATATTTCTGAGGCATCTGTGGTCAAATACTAATAGCTTAAGAGTGTCTTCTACTCTTGAAGGCCATGTTTCGCTGCCCTAAATTAAAACAGAACGGACTGCCACGCAGTATACTCGTCCTTTTATTGATAGACGGATATCTCGCCTTCGCCACAGGTGACGTAAGTTGGCAAAAGCCAAGCGAGCTTTTCAAATCCGTGCTGAGATTTCGTCCGATACCAACCCATTAGGGCTAATCAGACTTCCAAGATAAGTGAAGTTGTCAACTTGTTCGACTACTTCACTCCCTATCCTTAGTTCAGGTGTTGACGCAGACCAGTCCTGAAGCAATGAAATGTGAGACAATGGATTGATGATTGCAACAGGAGCAGTGCAGTTTGATATAATGGATTGATATTTTGCAAACTAACGATTTACTATAGTGTTTTTCTATTTTACCGAGTAACTCTGTAATTTTGTTAAATACAATTCGATTGTCCTTACCCGTGTTCTTGTTCACTACAATATATCACTATTTCTGTAAACGATAAAGAATAAATGTAACTTAAGTTGAGGATATAAAGATTGAGTTCTCTAAAGGTCATAACTTAATGATGAAGCTTTCATGGTTTCATTACTGAACAACAAACATCATCAAGAAATAATTCAGAATATAATGATGTACAGTTATGAATAAGAATTAATTAAGGTATAGATTAACTTTTTGGAGAAATCCTACTTGAACATTTTTCTAATATTTGAAAGTTTTACGATTGAATGATTATTTTGGATAAAGTACGCATCGAACGACCTATATACCTAGCTCTACAAGAGCAGGTAAATTGGTAAATGCACATTAAGTTGGTCAGATGTGAATCATTGAGCTGTCGCCTCATCTTTTTAGCCATGCCGGATAATGTTCTTGAATTCGTTTGGATAAAGTACGCATCGAATTATTATTTATAAGCAAAGTAACATCTTTAATAACTTAATTTCTGAGAATAAATATCAACTAAATTCATGAAACGTAATGTATTATTTTAATGGCAATTGAATTAAGATGGTTAGTTGATTAATAGAAGAGATAGGTGAAGAAACTCAGATGGATTGACGTTAATATCAACTCCAGACTACGTTTGCCATATGTTTAATGTCCTGATGAAGTTAGTATAAATCAAAACTTTATAATTCAGAATATTCATGTAAAACCACGATTCGATAGTAAAAAGGGTAAGTCTACAATATTGAGGCATCACCGTCAGCAACAGCTGTCCTTGAGGCAAGTTGAGATATGATAATTTTAAAGTTTACTGATGGAGATACTGGTTGTGAGTAGAACAACGTAGTGCCAGCACAATTTTATAAAATAGGCAATATGATTTCGTTGTATTTTGTGCAGCCACTCTCCAGCCTACTTCTCTGGAACGGTAGGTTCTAAGCGTGCAAGTGATCTGCTCAATACAGCCTCTGCCCTCCTACAACCATCTTATACCAAAACATAGTGTATCTCTTGTACAGTGACTAACGTTAGTTGTTTAAATGGAACTCAATATACAGATGTCTATCAGTATTGATCACAAGACAAAAATAAAAGTGGTTACCCCTTAGTAATATAGATACATATATATGCTTTTCAGTCAAAAATGAAATAGTTTCCAATCAATTTATTAGTCCATTAAAATCTATAGGCCTAAATGATTGATCAACAACGTCATACTAGTTAGAATAGTTGTCATAGTATCGTATCGTTCATGGTTAAACATCGTTATAATATTAAATAAAGCCGATAATCATAGTATCAGCTCAAACATCACGTAAAAGGTTGCTGTTACGTGAATTTAGTGTATAAACAAGAAATCAATAAAACTTAGGTCGAGTCAGGCTAAAACAAATATCAGCTTAAAGGTAATATTTTTTTAAAATAAACTAAAATATTCAGTTCATTTGATGTTGTTGTTCTTACTTGTATCTTCCCCTTGTTATTTAGGACTGTAATTGATCAGTTTCATATTGACATATGTACATCCTGTACAAATTACCTCAATATTTCCTTAAGTCACAAGGTTTTTTAAGCAAAGATGGATAGTGGTTAGCAGTGGAATTCAGGATGCACATTCCAAGTGAACATCAACTCTGAGATGCAGGTACATCCAGTTGATGAGTTCTAAATAGGAAAAAACCGCACATCCTTGGATTCCAATGCTAGCCACTGCCCATCTTTGTTTAAAAAACCAAAATTTACTTCGTAAAGTCAAAAAGTTAGATCTCTTACATAAGGTACATGAAAACAACTGGATGGCCCTTTCGTCCTAGTATGGGATTCCTCAGCAGTGCGCACCCACGATCCCGCACCCCGCGCGCGAACACTTAATCATTAGACCACTAAGCTGACATCCAACGGTGTTAATGTCTAACTTCGTGCATGCGCACTGCTGAGGAGTCCCATACTAGGACGAAACGGCCGTCCAGTGCTTCCAGGTTTTCCATGGTGATCTAACTTCAACTGACTCATGATTTCAATCTGTGAAATTTCTAAAATCTCCACAAACCCCTTCTGATATTATTATTATTACTAAGTAGAAACTATCATCTTGAATATGATAATGACAGTTAAAATTCTTCTAGAATAAAACTCAATCTATAAATAAGAACTGGCAACATTTCATAGAAACATTAAAAAAAAATATTTTCTTATGAATAGAAGAATTTATCGATTTTTTTAAAAATCGATTTGAGTGAACCAATTCACATAATCCTCATAGAAGAATATTTGATCGAATCACTGTTTCTGTTATAATAACTATATTATTATCAGTCTCTACAGTCTATAAGTCTTTAATTATTGTGAGATGGTGGAGAAGATTTGTAGCTTAGGTGGATGATTTTGGTGGAGTTTTGTTCTTTGAACTGGATGGTTTGGTCGTGGAGTTTTCATCGTTCTTCTGAACGACATCAGAAGAAGAACGATGAAAGCTCCACGATTAAACCATCCAGCTCAAAGAACAAAACTTTACCTTAATTATTGTGATATTTTACAAAGGCTGAAATGAAGCATGTATTCATGAATTCGACAAAGTTATCTATTAAAAAATAGTGAACATTTACATGTGTTACTACATTGATTACTTCGAAATGGTGTTATTTGTAAATTAGAAAAGTCATTAAATAGAAAGGTTAGAAATGATTTAAAGTAAAGTATCAAGTCACTGTTAAGTCTTGTTGATTGGACGCTATATTCGTTCCTAAGCTATTCTGATAACCTGCACGCTAGAACTATACAGCGACCTGAACATCAGAAAGAAGAAACAAAGTATGAGAGTGACACTTTACTCCAAGATTCGTTTTTGTACAGAAAACATGGGTATTTCTAGATGTTATCATTCGTTAAATCAACATCATATTTCGGCCAATCCGTTAACGATATATTATGCTACTGACCAATAGTAGAACGCCACGTTGGAATTCTAGAATGCTCCATTATGCTCTGATTGGTTTGGACTCTTGGGCTCTTCTAGGGCCTCTAAAGGCTACGTTGAAGTTCTCCGAAAGCCGACTCAACAGTCACAATGAGTATAATAGTAACATAGTAAAAATGAAAATGAGAAAAAACAATGATGTGGTTAAAGTATATAGTAGGAGAATTTCGTCATATTAATCGAGGTAATAATAATATCGTCGTATGAATACCATAAATATGTCAATAATAAGAGGGGTGTTACCATGGTAATTACGATTTTTTAAAAAAAGAATTCATGTAAATTGAGAAAGATGAACGTGAAGATTAAGAAAGATGTAAACAAAAGATATTAGGGGGAGGGGCTGTAGGAGGTTTATAATATTCACTTAAGGTATCCTATGATCACAATAATTATAAACTTATAACTGTAGAGTCTGATGATGAAGTTATTAAAAACAATTGTTCACTTAAATATTCTACATTTTCCAAGTTAGATTTTCTTTTACGTACAAATAGCATATTACTTGATGTGATTTAATGAAGCGATGATATTTAAACGTCGTAAAATAGTTCATTAAAGTTAAATCGAAAACTAAATATCTTCAACAAAGTTTTCACGATCAGAATACAGTTGAATAGTTTTGTTCGGATAATCGATAAAACATTTAGGTAGTTGTAGGTAATCTGCAGATTTTGTGCTAATTTGAACCCATCAGCAAAATGTATCTATAATCTTGAAGAACTTGACACTCCTTGTATGACTCCAACTCGTATCCATTGGCTTCCAACTATTAAACTTTACCCCTAAGATATTCAGGTAGCGATTGACATAACATAACACTATATTTTCATGGTGACAGTAATAAACTAGATCAAAAACTCAATTTATACAGATGTTTAAAATAAATTAATTTAAATGTCAATCACGTATCTAATCTACTGGTTGAAAAGAAATGAAGACTATCCACTGAATCACCACCACAGTCTCAAATAATTCCATGATGTAAATACATATTGAGAGTTTTAAGTAAAATAATAAACTGAATAGAGTAATGAAAGTGATTACATAATCAAATTAAACCAGTGAATTCTTTTCACTGTAATGACACACAAACAAATGACATTTGAGATGAAAATTAATTGTTTATATTCGTACAAAATGAATGATAAACAAGGTTCAAGAAGTCTTTTCGATAAGATTTACAGTTTCCGCTAAATGTGATTATCCATCATTACTTTACTACTGCACGGTCAACTGGTTAAAACAAGATGCAATAATTAAAATAAAGACAAACTACTGAGTTAGAAAATCGCCAAAGATGTAGAAAATAAAAGTAGGTTAAATTTAGAAAATGAATCGACTTAGGAAATAGACGATATTCTAAGCAAAGATGGATAGTGGCTATCAGTGCAATCTAGGACACACGTTTCGTTCTATTTGGGACTCATCAGCCGGATGTACCTGCATCGCAGAATTGATGTTTACTCCGCGACTTGAACCCAGTACGGTTCACTTCCAAAGCCATCGCGTTATCCACTTAGCTACTGAGTCTTGATAGCCACTATCCATCTTTGCTTAGAATGCTTGTGAATTAAGGCAATATCGAAGCAATACGCACAATATCCCAATAAGTGATAGATCAATTTCAGTTCTAACTATCAATGGGAATATTCAAGTAAATAATACCAAGAACTTTAAATTCACTTGGTGTTGTTTTACATGTATCTCCCCATTGTTATTTAGGACTGTAATTGATCAGTCTCATGTTGGCATATGTGCAAACTATGCATTCAAGAAGATATTCTGTAATTCTTATTCTTTCTTTTCCACTGTGGTCATTATTTTAGTTTTCTAGCATTTTACTGCATGAAGTTTGATATGATGGAAAGAAAAGTTAAAACTAGATTGATTTAATCATTATAATTTCTGTTCAACATTAATTCCGTTTTAATTCAATGTAATGATTATTCAATGTAGTTATTGTTTCTGTTTCCTAGAGTGATATTTTAACTCCGCCTGGAGTTCCTCCGACGGCTACTGCCGGTTTCAAGCCCGGATAAAGGAGGAGGGTTGGGTATGGGGTTAGCGACGCAATCCCGTAGAAAACTAAGTCGCTAAAAAAACGCTAACCAGAGTGATATTTTATTCTGTATAACATATGATAAGTTAACATGAACTATACTCATCAGCATATGATTTATTATAACCCTAAGTATTTTTCATATATGTGATTTTATTTTAATTGTTCATCAAAAATGGGTGTATGATACACTATATAAATGAGTGCATTTCCGACTAGACTTGTCGTCAAGGTTGTTCATGATTCTGGCTGCTTGTAGAATATATTTTCCTTTTTCGAATTATGACTTCTCTCTTTAGTTAGCTGGGCTAGGACGCATCGAAATAGCTAGCTTTTCTGTTATTGTGTCACCGAGTTTTCGTTCCATTCTCAGATTAGGTGAACTCGTAATCTCTTCAAACATAGCAAATTTATAAATAAAGAAAGTAGTCCAATAATATGATATACTTTTGGTATGATTATAAAACAAAGAATATTTCACTGGTTGAAATCATGAGTCAATTGAAGCTAGACCACCATGGGAAACCTGAAAGCACTGGACAGCCGCTTACGTCCTGGTATGGAACTCGGAAGTGCGCATCCACGACCCCGCGGGATTCGAACCAAGGACGCACTGGTTTCGCGCGCAAGCACTTAACCATTAGACCACTGAGCCGGCATCCAACGGCATTAATGTCTAACTTCAACCAATCCAAGAATATTTGTGATAGTAAACAAAAATGACAATAATTTCAATCTAAAATGTATCAGTTGAAATTCAATGATGTTTAAATTATTTAAGTCAAAAACTTTGTTTCATCAACCTCTGTGTATGTTCCAATAGAGTGTCTTGTGATTTCCTAAAACAAAGCAATAACATTGAAAAAGAGTTTACATTTTAAGAATTGAGCTAATTTTCAACTCCGATAACCAGTTCTAAATATCAAATGAAGCCATTTAATATTTCTATCATCAATGTTTTGTTGACTCACCTTAAAGCAGCTGCAAATATAACTGATAGAAATATTCCACGAACAAGTAGTACACCATCGAATAAAATCATTACTATGTAGGGTAATATTTGATCATAACGTTTAATAGATCCATTTAATACTGGATCACAACCAGCAAAATAAGCATAAATAGCTAAGCCAGTGAATAATTGTACTGCCAAAAATACACTTGTCAATGGAATATTTAGTAATATAGCTCTGTGAAGCGAGAAATATATATAGGGAGAAATATCAAATGAAAAGATGATTCACGGTTTTTCCTTGTTAGATGAATAAAAATGAATGACGTTTTATTGATAAAATGTTGATCTGTTAAAACAATACATATGTGGGTTGTTACAATTAACAACGGTGAAAGATCCTTGATTGTGTTTATGATATTTGATGAATTACTTATTATGTGACAGTTGAAATAATAATTCACCTGATAAATTTGAATAGTACAATGAGAAAGACAAGATTATCAGAACTGTATGAAAAATTAGGCGGGAGTAACTATGACTCTTTTAAGGTAGCCAAATGCTTTGTCATCTATCAGCACATTTTGGGGTTGTAGTTGCGTGACGACTACCTCTTCGTGGTTCCCGCCAGTAACGTAGTGTTTGTATGATGCTACGGCTAAAATGTCGCCGAGAACTTCGGGTCTCCAGCTGGGCTGTTGTGCGCTGATAAATGTACTTGGCATAGCACTATGTAGCAGGTGCGAACGGCCACATCTGACTGCTACCCATCTTGCATTGGTCAGTAAAGGCTGGTGTGATGAGGAGGCCCAGCCTGGGTTGGCGCCTGGCGTCGACCTGGGTCCGTGGAGTCATCCTCTTGGTAACATGTGGGCTCTAGTGGAACATACCGTGTCCGGAACTGATCCTTTGGCTTTATGTGGGTCGTAGAGAGACCCGATCATCCGGTAAAGACGGCAAGGACTAGAAAGCTGGTGGCCATTGCTGCTGGTAACTCTAGAAGAGTTACAGGCGAAGTTATGGTGCAATTTCTACTTTATAAGTATTTCTGTACTATATTCAGAGATTGATTATTTGTATAAAGCTTTGTAACAATGTCTGGTTCTTCTTAGGATAATGAAAGCGCTCTTACAAACAACTGTTTTCTATCTCATTTGTCCAGTGTGAGTCTAGAAGCAGATGCGTAAGATCATATTCATTATATATATTTCACATGTCGATACCAACCATATGGTCACCCTTCCACCTAGTATCATAGTTGGTTTAGAATAAAGCAATACAATATACCCTTTATCGATATGATTCCCAAGAAATCTGTAGTGACAAAGATATCTCGGTGCAAGTTCATTGTATTCTTATTCAAATTACTTTATTAGTTAATAAAAAATTATTCCACGCTACACGATAACGAATAATAAACTCCTATCTATATACTGCTTGAGATCGACGAAAAAAGTACTCATAATTCTCCGTCATGCGTATAGTGGACTAGTTTCGTCAGTTCACTAATCAGTCAAGTATTCCAACACAATCCCTAACATCATAAACAATAGGGAATATTGATGAACACTAAAAAACTGAGCACGACCAAGAAAATAATATACCTTCGAGCAGTTTTTAAATCTCGACATGCCATATAACGTTGAATTTGTGTTTGATTAGCACCGAATATACTAAGAACCAATCCGGTCCCACCAATAATTAAAGTCCATAATGTATGTCGTTTAAAAGGATCAATACTAAAACTAGAATAATATATGAATAATTAAGCACTTGGAAAGAAAATTTTAAAGAATGGGACTTTTTATCAAAGTAGTATATAGATGCATGTTAGTTAATCACAGCGGAGGAAGAAATCTGGAAGAAGCGCTGGAAGTGGATAGGACACACATTGAGAAAAGCACCCAACTGCGTCACAAGACAAGTCCTCACATGGAATCCTCAAGGCCAAAGGAAAAGAGGAAGACCAAAGAACACAATACGCCGAGAAATGGAGATAGACATGAGAAAAATGAACAAGAATTGGATGGAACTAGAAAAGAAGGCGGAGGACAGAGTGGGTTGGAGAATGCTGGTCAATTATCAACAATTCAAAAGGCACAAAATTCTGAGAAACTTTTAATGCAACCTATAACAATGATGCTGCAGTTTGACGTGTCATGAGTTTGTATAGAGAAATTTGAGATGTTCTTGAAAATCACCTAAAAAGAAGGAGTTTTGAAACATTATCAATGGAAAAAAAGACCTATTAAAATCAAGTGAAACTGAGTCAATTTGTTCGATTTTCTTGTATATATCAATTATTTTATAATTGGTGAAAACAAGACGAATGAAAGTTAAGGAATTCTTCGGATCAATATAGAAAAGCCATTGGGAAAAACTGTAAATTATCTTAATAATACTTTAACGGTTACAATCCAGATATATAAAAAAGTCATTATCGATGTTATGGGGACATAGATTGGATTAAAGCATGCTCAATGTATGATTATTTGGAGAACACTTTAGAAATCTTCTCCCGTAAAAACTATAAATATACTAACATTTTTCCTATTGTGCTTCTTACTTCCATTTAACCTTGTTATTTGGAATATAATCTCTTTCCTGTTCAACCGTGTTCTGATTTGGTTACTTGTCGAGTGAATTGGTGTCTGAGAATAATAAGCAATAGGAATGGATGGGTTGTAATAAGAGAGAATTATAACAATCGGCCGTTTACAACGATCGTTGAACTTTGGATTTTATACTACGGACCACGTTTTCCTAGACAACACTATAAAACTAGATAACATTGAACAGCTGGATCGTCCTAGTGTAGGGCCACTCAGCATTGGACATAGACGACCTTAGCAGGGACATTAAGACGAAACAGCTGTTCAATCTTCCTGTTTTCTGATAGGTATCTAAAGAAAATCAGTCAGTGATGTGAAACTCTAAATGTAAAAAAACTCACTTAAACTTATCACATAGCACTCTTACTCGAAAGATTGAACACGCTGACCGTCTATTACTATCCCCCATAGACGTTGGAATCCACCAACTTTTAAAGTAATTAATAATGTGATTAAACAAAATCCACTGATGAGAACAATTAGTTGGAAAAGATCAACCCATACTACTGCACGAATACCTCCCTAAAGAAATTTTAAATAGACAAAACAAAACAACAAATAAACATGGCTGTTAGAAATTTTTACAATTTGTACTGTTAATAGTGTAACAGGAAATAATCATTACCAATTTATGAAGTAGATCAAAGAAAAGAAAATTCATAATAAATGTAAGATCTTGATGGAAAATTCCATTTCTGTCAACTTCTGATTAGACTAATTCATATTTGATAGATTATTATAAATTCATACATTTCACTCATATCATTCATTATATTTGTAATAGTGACACCGAAAAAGAAAACAGTCCTCCAGTATACATATGTAGTTGTCATCTGTGGTCATGTTACCATGGTGTCTCGTATTGGTTTTTAGCGCAATTCAAAAGAATATGTCATCTCTAATTCGATAAAATAGGCGAGCAAAAAAGAAACGAAAGGTCTTTTGAAAAAAAAAACGAAATCAGCAACTAAATGAATAGACATTTTGATATTTAAAAGAGAAGGGAACGAGACTTTAAGTAGTTCTGATGTGTCGCTCAGTAAGATAAGTTTATTCAAGGAATTAATCAAAGATAAATACAGTCAAAAACAATTCAGTATAAAACACTTGTCCAATAATATTCAGATTTTAAGTCTGTATACAGTAAGAATGTGAGTTATTTATTATGTAATATGTTCAATGTGAGACATGTGGAGGTGTCTGTATGAATGCGCGTGTTAATGTTATTAAAATTTAGAGAATAAATGAAGTCTGAGAATACATTGAACATCAATCGGCGAGATTATTACAAATATAATTTTACTTCCACAAATTTCTATTAAGTTGTTTGCTTTAATATTCATGAACTTTTACACATCTAATGGGTCAGCTTAAAAATTCTTTTAACAACTAACAAATGTATATAGATGAATTATGTAATGTTTAATGGGCATTTTCTACCGATTTTTGATCTTTACAGTAATTTTCATTTTCGACCCTTCTCCGTATCCTGATTTTATATATATTTTTTATTTCAAGTAAAATAAATTTAAATCAACGAGTGAGACGAAAAGTCTCCATTTCTTATGATTTGTAATACGAGGTGAATATAATTGAATGTTTCCGTTCACACTAAAGAGATAACTTAACTTATTCTTCACGTGCAAGTATTCATACACATATCTTTGTGGCATACTTGAGGCGTGATGACTAGTCAGTTAGTCATAAGCAACGTATAACCTGTGCATCAGTTTAATTTGCCACATCAAATCAGCACGGTGAAATGAAATCATTAAAACCAATACCAAAGTCATAGAAGTTGTAATAATATCAGCGGTAATGGAAAACATTAGGCATAGACAAGATAATCGGAGAATGAGTTCACGGAATAAAAAAAATAGAAGGTAGTATTTAATCCCCAGATCCAAAGGAAGGTGAAGAACGGCTGCATCTAAACCATTGAGACAAATTATCGACTATCACCTAACTTCTTTTAGCATTGGTTACAGTAATCTCTTAGGTTATAACAGATGTTGACATTACTCAGTTGCTTGAATCCAAACGGATAAAGCAAAGCCCGAATATGTAGTTCATTGTTTATGTTATGTCTCTATAACAATACTGAGTGGTAGTTTTTGGGATCCCATCCCCGTGCCAATTGTTATAACTTGTGACCTGTGTGCTCTGTTAATGTATAACGTAATGATACCGCCAATTGGAGAGCAGTGAATTATCGATCAAACTAGTGACGCATAAAACACGTACGAGCAGTCTAGAGTCCTAATTGGTCCTACTTTCCGCCTAGCCCAGTTAGTTAAGTCCAGAACAACAATCTCAACACGCGGGGTTCGTATACCAATCAAACAGACTACATCGTACCATCAAAATAGAAAATAAAATTTGTACAAGATTTGGCCAAATGTGTCTGTGAATGTGGGAGATAGTGATCAATAGACAGGGAATAATTCAAGAATGGTAAATCGCATAATAACAGTTCATAGGTTAAAATAAAGCTTATGATAAGAGAGACATGAATATGGATAATTCAGTTACTTAACAATTATACGATAAAAATATACGCATAGTATTGGTTCACAAATGGATCCCAAAAATTACCAATCATTATTCTTATCGGAACATAACAAGTTAACCGCTAATTCGCCACTAGACACATGCTACACATGGACTAATCAAAACCTTTATCTGAGAATTCAAGTATTCCTTCACATATAAAACATTCATTATTTAACCTAATTACTAGATGTATCAACATATGATGAGTTGATCCAACAAGGGTGGCCTGCTTGAGCATCTGGGCTACCTGTTCCTGCCATCTAGATATTTCAACAAGTTATCTATTTTTGTTTGTTTTAATATATGTCATTATGTCTATTCATCGCATAAGCTATTCTGATGCATTTCTGAAAAGTGTACAACCTTTCGTTGTCAAAGTTACAAAAAACTCAGTAAGAGCCAACGTGGTTGCTGGCAATATACAGCGAAAAGAATGCACATTATTCAGGTGTTCATTTGCTGAACTGCTAACATCTAACTGGCGATCACTCAATATTTATCACCAGGACCGACCAAGAAGAAAGAAACGGAAACTTGTTGAAATACTTTACGCTGAGAATTCTATATTGTACCAAAAATATAATATTAAATAAAGTTGATGATAATAATAATAATTTTCAATCAATGATGAAGTTATTATTATCATCACATTATGATTAATCTAACTTACAAAAGCTGTATAGAATGTAGCCACCAAACCAGTAGACAATATTGATATCCAAATGGGTAGACCGCTAACTTCAAATCAATATAAATAACAAAAGAAATAGATCAGTATAGAAAAGATTAGACAAAAAAAACATAACAGAATTAAATTCACTATTGAATTAATTAAACAAATGAGTTGAACATTTTCTAATGAACATAAACATGATCTAAATTTCACGTGATCTATGCAAAAATGTTACTTTGTAATATAGATATATACATATAGCAACTAATTTGACGAGAAATGGTCACAGTTCCAAGGAACAAGTAACCAATCGAAGCATGTGTGTATGAATAAAAATAATAATAAATACTGATAATAATCAATCTCTTAGATCATTATTCCAAGTTAACAAAACAATAACTCACCTTGACTGAATGCCAAAGCAGGCGCATACAATGCAAGAGCAATGTAAACTGTCTACAAGTGTTAATTTGAATAAAGGTAATGAAACAAAATGAAAAGCACAGTAAATAAATATGCAAACAGATAACAAAAGATTAATTTAAAGAGTAAATAATGGAGATTGATCATTAGTAAAACAGGATTAACTGATGGAATACCAAAAAACATGGTACATGGTAATTTTATGTCATTCAGAATCATAGGAATATTGCAGCATAATTGATAAATAATAAAAGTTAAATAATTTGACATTGGTTACAACTATGTGAGCAACTAGTGTGTGACTATATCAATCCTATGAGACATACAATTTTATCACACCAGGCGGATCGGATTAGAAAAGTAAGGTCACTTGAAAAGTGTCTCTAAATTTAATCGTACAAATAACAAAACAAATGTCACTAACTTCACAAGAATGAACAGAAATGGGGGGATTGTGCAAAGATTTTAAGATCCTATATTTTCAATATGCACTGCCGAGAAGTCTCAAACTAATACGACAAAGTTATTCGATGTTCGCCAATATTTGAGTTAGTATATGATGAAATCTACCTTCGAATCAAATAATTTCCACATATCTTGTATTTCAACAAAGTTTATAAACTAAGGAATGATAGGTATTAACTAAGATAAATCTCACTCGACAGTACTTTTTTTTCAAGTAATCAACTTATACTCCAGTTTTCTGCTTATTGAAGAACAACTGAAAATGTTTACCTAGAACCCGTAATTTTTCAGTTCTTATTTAAATGGTACTATTTTAAAGTAATTGTTTGTATAACCATAAGACTCAACGAATGATTTCCGTAAAATAATTGACATACCATTTGTAATAAGAATACAAGTGAAGCTGTCCATCGAACAAGTTTTCCAAATCGCATTTCTAAATACTATTTAATAAAGTTTAAACGGAATACAAACACAATACAGATTGTTTACAGATCATTCATCAATAAACTATCTATAAAAACGTTGTTAAATAACATAAACACTTTAAGGAATAGTAACGTATGAAAAATGTTATTGTAATTTTGACAAAACCAACAGAAGCACAGGTGAATAGGCTTACTAAGAGCTAAAACTAGAAAACTTTTAATGTAAGACTAGAAACTAAGTAAGTACTTAACATTTATGACGAATATCTGTTACAAATCGGAACACTAACAAACGATATATGTGAGTTTAGTTATTAATATTCTACTTTAGTAAGAAAGTAACCTTCCTGAATCAAGATTTTCAAATTCCCAAGTATGCAATGATAAGATATTTCAAACTGCTCAACGACTAATATAGTGCTTTGCAATAAAAAAATGTATAGAACTGGGGGAATAACAAGTATTCCCACTTCATTAGTAGTGTAAGTATCTAAATAATAAACTGTAATCTACAGCTGTAGCAAGTGCGTGATAAATTGCAGAGTGGGGTGTAAATTAAACAGTATCCAGGTGACTTTGTATTTTATGAGTAGATTGGTGACTGTAGTGGTTGAATTACACCTCCTCGAATACTTTGATTTTGACAATCGTTCAGTGTCACTTCATTTTTATATAAACAAGTTGGTTGATTATATAAATCCGTACGTAATATATGAGTTGCGTAAAATTATTACGTTAATTTTCCGACCACATATACTTCTATGATCATCCATTTGTTTGCAACAAATGTGACTATGAGATTGTATAACTCGTATTTCTCCCATGATCTATGTAAATTCATGTTATAGATAATAAGCCACCGAAAGAAGTTTAAGAGTTAATTCAAGATTTAGGGTAATACGGTTAGCAATACAGCAGAGAACGAAATATACATATCAAGATTAATCAACTAACTTCATGAGCACTGTTCAATCTGAGCTTATAAAATACTGGCATGTAAACATATGCAGCTAATGGAAATGCAATACAATAACCTCCAACCAATGTTATAAATTGAATACCACATTGATAAGCTTCAGATGCAGTGCCCAATATACCGACAGCTGATAAAAAACTGGCCATTACACTCCCAACAATAGGTAACAATGTCAAATTACGATCACCTAAGAATAATTCTTCTACGTTCATTTTCTTTCTCACTTTTGGTTGAAAGTTGATACCACGAAAACAATTAGTTAATTTCCCAAAAATTACATCATGATATCGATGATAAATCCCAATCAGCGAGTAACAAATAAGTGAAATACCGAAAACCAAATAATCTGACCAATGGAAAGTTGGCAACATTTTGTGTTACAGTTGACTAGAAAACATTTAAAGGTTAACAAAGTGAACATCGAGTTAGTTATCACTTTAAAATACGTTTTCAGTAAGAATAAAAAAACAATATATTTATGACTCAACCGTTCCACAAACAACTCTAAGGTCAGAAAATTTTGAAGCAAAACTAAGTGTGGTTATCTTTTCATATTTACGTTGTTTTCCAACTCTTCAGCAAATATCCTTAAAAATGATCCGATAAACGTGTGATAGTTACATTTCAATCACTTAGACTACAATGTTCCATTTTTTAAAATACAGTAATCTTATCTTTTCACATGTTCGTTGTACAGGTTTTTACAACTACATAGACTTTAACGTTATAAAAGTACCAAGATCATGAAAAGTGACCTCTCAACTTACAAAACTACATTGAATATCTATTCGATCCATTTCCTTATCGAATGAGCGGCACTTTGGGGAAGTTGAATTATACGTTATTTTTAATGGCTTAGTGAAACTAACTATATTAGTTAGCTAAACAGGAGGTTTTCGGGAGTTTGAGAAACTCTGATTATCTAGACGTTATTATTGGATTTAACCTATAGGTATGTTGTTGATGTGGCCGTTAGTGAGTATTAAAACAATTTTATTTGAGTGAACGTGTAGAGGATAAAATTAAAGAGAAATGTGACTAGAAAACCCAGTGATCAAACGATAATCAGCTAAAACAACTGGAAAACAATTTGAAACGGTTAATATTGCAAAACAATTACTCAGGACAATTTAGTAAGCAAAATTATAAGTCAAAAATAGTTTCTCTATGTCTTAAGGGTGATCAAAGATATTGAGAATCGTCAACTACAAGCAGACTGTGTATTTCTGTAGATGCATTATACACAAACAACTATTCAGTGTAGACTGCACTTCGTATCTGCAAATCGATAACATAAATGCTACAGATTAGTCGAGACAAATTTGTTTAGAACGCAGTATAAAATAAAATTGACCAAAAAAGTGAAATCTCCAAAGTCGTGATCAGAAAGTTAAAAAACAATTATATAAACTTCTTTAAAAGCTATAAAAATAACGACAAAAGACAAGTTCGATCTTTAGTTTTCACTTAATAGATAAACCAGGTTAATGGAGGAACTAGTTTAGATTACTATGGTCTCAGGGTTTTGAACGGATTCAATAACTGACAGTCGGTTGCATTTCGTGTTACGAGTTGGCATTTCAAGAAATCCGGACACATTCATGATAGTCTAATTTGATATTTTTATAAAAAACTTTGAAAAAATGTGCTAGGTTTATCAATCGACTGGTGTACGTTATATGTGTTCATAACTAACTCTGATTGCAAAGTGACCAAAAACTCATATACTTCACCCAGATAGATAGATCAATTAACCTCTAAGACTTTACTACCGTTTCAGTAACAAAGAAGTCTTGGTAGACAGATTAGGTAATAATATCCCATTAAAAAATAACAATATTGCTCCAAGTAAGTAGATTTTATAAATCTAAGTCATTATTCGATAACAAATACTGAGACCACTCTTACTTCGGCGTTTACGTTACGTGTAATATTTGTCTGACATTTTAAAAACACTTCACACAAATGAAATTTGGAAAAAGATGTGTATGAGTTATAACTACAGTGCAACAAAAGACGATATGAGATTTCAAGTTATATTATTAAAGCTATAAGTACTATATTCCCGTTCACGAACAACGTTACAACGAAATACTCCCCACTGATTGGGAAAACGTGGTTAATATTGGAATACAACATCAGCGAACATTATCCGGATAGTGGATACATTATGCCGAATAAGTCCTAAAACTTTCGCGATCATTACCCGAAGTTAGGACCATAATGCGAAAATAGAGAGCACAAGTACAGTTAAAATTTCAGGGCTGTTAAACTTTGAACTAATACAACCAGACTTGAGATACTGATGTAATCGAAAGATGGTTTCAACGACATCTTATATCTTTATTCAGAAGTAAACAACTTGAGCTAAATAACACAGTCATTACACCCACCCATTCAGTTTTCAGAAATCAGTATAACACGCTGGTCATTCAATCCAATGTTTCACTGGGAATCTGATTAGAAATCCGATAACCACTTAAAATCATCACAGAAAAAGATGTAATTTTGGTAGACATGTTAGGATGTCAGTCACAGGATTAATTTTATCGCGGAAGGCTCTGGTTTGACCATGGTCCTGAGCTTCCTAGTCTACTTGGAGATCAGCTCCTCGGAAAGAAAAATAAAAAACTAGTAACTAAGCACATGTAAAGCATAATCTTAAAATTTTAACTGGGATTATTACCAAACAAAGTGAACTTAGGGTAAACTACGTATGATTTACTGATTAAACCAATTGATCGACATTTTCAGGCTTTTTTAGACAAAAAATGTACTTATTATTTTAAAACCAAGTTATCTATCGACATAGGATAAGTTAATTATATATTGTTAGCAACACAACAACGACGTGGTTGTCGCTGCAGATTTGACTTAGAAAAGACTTTCATAGTTATTTTCACTCTATTTGGCACCATTATAATAGGGTTTGATGATATATTATCTTATGGAAAGTATATAAGAAGCATTTGTCCAACGTTCACCTCCTACCGTTTTTACTATCAATCATGATTAGGAAAAGAAAGACGTGAGCATAGATTTCGCCGGTTACCTCATTCTGCCTCAATCCTGAGGTTGCAGTATGATCTTACATTTTATATTGTTTTAGATCACAGACAAATTTGACACTACGGGATAATTTACGAACACAAAAGTTATTTCATCAACATAAACAGTTTTATATGATAATCAAAAACAAGTAGTTCAAGAAATTGCAAACAAGATACTTCAATTAGGTAAATACAATGACGACTTAGGGAATTAAAGAGAAACACGTACACTGAACCAAGCGACAACAGACAAAATACAACTAGAAGCTGCGCTTTCAAGGTTATACAGTTACATCCTTCATGGACTTGGAAAAACAAATTCTTTCGGTTTCATTTGTAACATATAGGAACGTTTTATTTTTATTAACCCAAGTGATCGTTATCATCGCAACAGTTCAACCTCTGTTGAATGCATCCGGAACCTGTAACAGTTAAACGTTATATTTGCCATTCTCGTTCTCTTCATAATATGTAAGCTGAAAATTCTACGGCCTTCAGTAAAAAATAAAAAGTCGGGTAAGATGCGTCAGTAAAGGGGGCATAAGGCCACTCATGGAAGCTATATAATCAAGCAACCATTTTTACTCTGGACAGTTCAAGAGAAGAAAAACATTCCTGTATAAAACTCGATAAGCCATATTTACCAAGACAAAACAAAACAAAAGAAACATTTTCATCAGCCTTCTCGTACCAAATAGAGCGGAATATAAAAATTCAATTCGTCATCAATCTTTCGCAACTTTTTTGTTCTCTACTCACGTGACACACTGATTCCCGACTATAAAACATTTCTGCACACGCGCTTCTCACTTTCATTTGTCAGCTGAAGTGAAAACAGGCCTCAAGTGTATTTGCTGCTTGTGTTTATATACCACGTTGTTATCCCTAGTAAGTTTTTGTTTCAGATACACATTATGTTGTATCATATCCATGTTATTTGAAACTACTGTCTACTTCTTATAACTATGGTTGACAAAATCAAAATACGAACTGGTATGCATAATATATTGAAGCTTCATTTCTTCAAGCCATCTAGGTAACGAGTTGGTTTGCACCCTATAAGTGTGTAAGTTCTATTAGTCATAAATATTATGAATAATTAGTCAGTGTAATGAAATAATATATTCATGTCCATCATAGGCCGCTGTGGTTTCTTTTCTAAGTTTGTAGTCTAGCATTCAGAAGGGCAGAGGTTCGAGTACGTACGATGCCAGGGTTTCGTTCACAAAACTCACTTGAGTACAAAACTCGCTGATTGTAAGTTGCTCAAATATGAGAAAAAGCAACAATGAAAGGACAAATTAGCATGCTGAAGTGCCTTAACAAGTCACATCGGAACACCGTGTTAGCTGCTTAAAGTATGACCAGCACAAGTATTTCCTGTTTATATTAATAATAATCATATAGAAAAGTTACATGTGTGGTAGCTTTCAGTTATATAACAAAAAAGAATAAAATGTTTTTTACATAATACTGGCGGTAAGTTCCAGAATTTCGTACGGACCACTGACAATAATAGGTTTAACGTGAGCGTGGCCGTGAGACTTATATCGTAAACTCAATATGCTGATTACTTAATGGATCGCTTATAAATTGAGTGAAATTAGTATAGCTAATATAGTAACATTATAGGTAACATACCGAACGATAACTTCAGTTAATTAAATGTTCATACACTGGTTATTTATTTTATTTATTGAAACACATAAATATTTGTACAAAGGTGCACAAAATACATATGCGTCACACGAGTCACTTGAATTTGTGTGGGCTGTGATACTTCCCAGGTGTCCAAACCGAAAGAGGTGGCTTCCTCGGGAGGCCACGTTTGGAGCCTTTAACTTAAAAGTTTGATCCACAAGGCAGTGGAACGACGTCAGGAGATGTAATCAAATGGTAGCTGGTCACCGATAATTGGTACATACGCCACTTGATCCTTTAGGATCCTGAAACAGATTTTCACCATCGGTTTTGAATTAGGGTTTAACAACTCCCCCAGGTGGACCCTCCATATCCACCAACCCCGTTAAGTCACCAGACATTCGCTTTACGTCCTCTTAAATTCGCAAACAACAGTAATGCCACGAGAAAGCAGAGTAGGACTTTCCTGGCAGTGGTTATATACGCGAGGCCACGCGAGGGCGTTTCGAGAGGGAGAGTTAATTCTCCCCGCCCTCGGCCATACTAGGGCATTCGGGAGGCCATGAGAGCATAAGTTTTAGCCAAGGGGAGTATAACATTCAACCCATTTTTATGATAATAGTATGAACTTTTGTTCATTGTTTGCATAACGGTAACTGCGAGAAAACAACACTGTTTGTGTAGAGTTATTAGTCAGGTTACTGACTGTTTTAGTTCGTGATGTCAATTTGGCTGTAAAAGGTCGGATCTACAACTCGTTGGTGGTAGCAGTTTTGTTCTATGCTTGTGAAACCTCAACTTTACGAGTTAAGGATGTTTGACTACTCTCTGTGTTTAATCATTGTTGTCTCCGAAGGATTGCCGACATCCAGTGGCAACACCATGTTAGTAATTCAGAGGTTCGGTATCGTGTGTTCGGGCGCAGAGACGATAATCCAGTTGGTGTCACCATCTTGAAACACCGACTTCGGTGGCTTGGACATGTTCTACGAATGTCGTCCCAGAGAATTCCACGTCGTGCATTATTTGCCGACTCTGGGACTGGTTGGAAGAAGCGGAGAGGTGGTCAGTGCATGACATGGTGTCATGGTATGAAATGAAGCTGCAAAGGGTAGACTTATGTTGGTGTTTGACGACTCCCTGGTTGGGGTCTGAGAGATGGTGCAGAAGAGTGGCTAGAGACGCCATCATAAATCGTTCAGAAAGGAAGAGAGTGGCGATCCTTCCGTAAACTTCCGAGAGCAGACAATGGGTTTTAAGCGTTGTTCAAGCCCTAGCGCTTCAGGCTGGGCTATTTCGTTTACTACCCTACATATGTGTGGTATACTGTATATGCAATATTGCTATGAAGAGCTGAAGGTCTCATATGAGACTGGAGGTTCACCATTCATACTGACGATGGTTCAGCATGATTACTTTGGCAAGTTTTGCTCACTGCTCATAAGGAAAATTGGTTTTCTGGTTAGCCGATTTCATTGATACATTTTGCATTTCACTCATTCGTTCATCTTACATTGTGTTGTAAGTTGGCAAACAGATATTTGCAAGAGAAATCCCACAGAACGTGAATGAGTGAAATCGGTTGAGCCGTTCAAAAGTTATGGACGAGAGTCAGTTAAGGAAATTGGATGTCTCAGGCATTTCTGTGAGATTTTGACACGCGAACTTTCTGTAGGATGTTTCCGAGTCACATTTTCATTCATAACTTTTGAATGAATTAATATTTTTCAATGGGACGTGCTTTGTGTTACTTATCCAACTAAGTGCTATTGAATGATGTACAATATGTAAACGTTCATTGAGATTTGTACTTGGCGATTTACACCGGCTCTTATTCACCATGTTATGTAGGGATACTACCCCTAACTCTCGGTCTGAAAAGTCGGAAAAATTAAATCTCTTAATTGTTAGCGTTGCTTGCTACGTCTTGTATTTTGTTTTGTCCGTTAATCTGCTGATTTATCTCTCCGCTTCTGGTTAATTTTCATTGTGTCACCTACCTCTGCGTTGACAATCTTAACGCTGATATAAATAAGAAATGAAACTGGAAATAAACATTTTCTTACATGTTTTAAACACGTTAGTGTAATATGATATCTTAGTAGGGTCCAAACCTGTTCGTTCCTGCCGGATGACTGAAGGTGAGGGCTTCACCAACAAGTTTAATAAACGTATGTTATTCATCTACGATGAATATTTCAGAGGGAGGACTGTTCTATAACTATTTATACTTAGCGAGGGAAAAGTCTGTCCCGGTTTTCAACCTCTGTTTTCAAAGTTTGACCGTTAATACATTATCTCTAAGGTTGTATTTATGTGTAGGAAGAATTTACATCATACTTCAGATCTACAACGCTGTATTTTGATTAAGCTGATGTGATTTCTTAGTGCGGATTTTTCTTGCGCTTTATATTTGTTGTGTGAATTGGCAAGGAACAATAAACTATCCCATTACTTTTAGTAGAGAACACTATTTCATTAAGTCTTATTATAGGTGTAATTCTGAGACAAAATAGCAAGTTCAAGATGTTGCTACCGCGCGTGTGCTATGAAATATTGTCACGTATGTAGTTCATATAATCTCCATCCATTTTCATGATATCGGTAGAAACGCTGCAGTATGAAGTCATCTATGTTAAGTTCTACATCTAACATTTAAGACAGATACCACGTTTCCGTTACAAGAATAGTTTCCGATTTCGTAATTAAGCCAGTCATTTTAAGTTCTGCCATTTTATTACTTAAAGAGTGAACAATAATAAGCATAAAAGTCCACTGTTTAGTCATTTCATATCTGACTAGATATGTTTTGGATGCCTGATTTGGATGGCAGTCCATCCAGGTTCATGAAACAGCTAGATGAGAATTTACTTGTTTCCTTCGATGGTGACGGAACTACCTTGCAATGAACTTCATCAACATCATAGGTACAGTTACATTCTGTGAACGTCTTATCACGCTCGGTGATGTGTTGTTATCAAATTTATTTGATATGGGAAGCTGAATTGTCTCCAGCTCTGTTACAGTGGTAAGTAGTGCTGTCCTTGCCGTAGGGGTGTAAAGATTACTTACGATACCTTCTGTAAATGATGGTGGTCATGCCTCAGTGGATAGCCGAACGGAATAGAGGCATAGTTATTGACAGTGTGATATCAGCTGTGTTGGGAGCGTAAAGGTAAGTCGTAGGTGGGGATAGTTCCCTCTCAAGACCCCCATTCATTCTATATTGGAATCGACACTAAGTGACTGTCGTTTGGATTCTGTAGGTAGGAGGACGTAGTGTTCTTATGTAGCCAAATCTAGCAACCTAGAAGTGTTATGTGACCAAGATTGTATCTTTTATAATTATTGTTTTAAAGATATGTTGGCCATCTTTTGGGGCTGATACATACGTATTTGCATAGATTGTCTAGGGACGAAAAGTTCCTTGCTCCTAGGTTTTCCGAACTTCGTTTTCACCTTCGTCCTTCTTCTATTGACCTTTCTACCATAGGAGTAATAACTATCCACTAGATCCAGATTATTATCCACGCCCTTGGAGGGTCGGTGTCAGTAGCTATTTTGATATCGCTAAAACCTTATTCTTCAGAAAAAAAGTTCAGGCGCTCTAAGGGGTTATCGTTCAGGGGTTATGAAAGACGCGT